TATTTTTATATCGATATAAATTATGATATATAATTTTAATATAAAATACGAATATATAAATTATTAATATTTTACACAACATAAATACATAAATTATTAAATTTGATAAAATAAATCAACTATTAAGTTGATTTAAATCATTCAAATCCGACCTAAGTATGAATTCAAGGTTAAATATAATTAGTTTAAATAATTATCTTTAAAAAATAATAATCAACAAATTTAAAATCTGAATTTACACGTTTTATAATATTAATTTTTTATTCTCAAACTATAGTTTTTTATAAAAATAATAAAAATCAACTTAAGCATCAACTAAGAGAGCTTTATTTGGTGGGAAATAATAGCAAAAGAACAAATCAACTCAATGATCTGTGAGATGACAATGATGTGTTAAGTACCTAAAAAAATGAAGGATCTCTTTTAAATATTTTGTTTGTTAAATTAATAAACCTTGTAAGGATCAAATTGTTTGCATTACTAATTTATTTCTTTCTTAAAAGTAAAATAAATTAAAGATTAAAAGTATTTTTTAAAGTATGGAAAATTGCAGATGCTAGATCAATCAAGACCAATCAAAAAGTAAAAGAGTGTCTAAGAATTAGAGAATTCTTATTTTAGGGAAAAAATCCTCACTAAAGGAAGAAGAGGAAGAAGTCTTGTGCAACAAAAATGGTAGAAATTAAAAGCAATTTTAATATGGTGGGGTCATTTTATCTTTTAAGTCAAATGACTTAAAAGGGATAAACTATTCAATGATCATTAATTAAATTTAATAATTTTAAATATGACATGATGATATATAAATATATAAAAAATAATATTATTTATAATTTTAATAAAAATTTTATATGAATTTAAAAAAGTAAAAAAAAAATGTGTTTAGTTTTTAATTCATCGATATAAATTATAATATAATATTTTTATATTTTATATATATTTGATATAAAATAAATCGATTCAAACATATAAATTTTTAAATCTATCTTTAATTATCCTTTTAAAAAACATCTAATCCAAATATTCAAGGAAGATTTTTGAGGAAGATGACCGACTAAACCCTTTAACCAAAACCCTTTTCCTTTTCATCAAAGGGTGTGACTCTTGGCCAGAAAAAAAGTCTCCCATGGTAGGGATAGAAATGGAGCTTTCTCCTTTCCTCCTTGTTTCCTTTTTCTTTTTCTCTTTTATTCTTTAAGAGTGATAGAGATAGGGAAGACCAATTTGAGTATAATTTCATAAATTTAAATGCATCTTCTTTTCTTTTCTTGTTTTTTTCATTTGTATATATATTCACTTTAGCATAGCTACAAAACATTAAATAAAATAAAATCCTTATTAACTTTTAGTGAATTTTTTATAATTGAAATTATCAAAATTTAAACTATGATCATTAAATCTAAAAATTTAGTGACTGTTGGCAATAGATTATAACATTTAAAAAGGCACTAATAACTTATAAATTTCATAATCATAAAAAAGAGAAAGAGAGATTATCTCTATTAATAGAATTCAAAGTAAGCTAGCTTGTAATTTTACCATTAAAGACAATTTTTTGGTTGTGAGTAATCTTTTTGGTGGGTGAGGTCTTTTGAAATTAAAATGATGAACCACTAACCATATCTATGACCAAGAGGCAAAAACTCAATATTTTGTCTTGTTCTTGATCCTTTTAAAGGTGTTAAAAAAATCAAAAGTGAAAAAAGCTAGTTTTGGTTAGAAAAATTTTTTGCTCAAATTAATTTAATTTTTTTTTTGTTTTCTTAATAATAGATTTATTCGGGATAAAGACAACAAGTCACCTCAAAATTATGAAAATGGCAAAAGCTTGATTGATTGGAGAAATATTTTAATTATTAATCTCTCTTGAATTTGAAAAAGTAGAGAAAAAAAATAAGGCATAAATGCAATTAGTCTTACTATGTTTGGGCATGATCAACCAAAGTTTGTTAATTTATTTTAATAGCCTTGGAATTAATGTGGCACTTACTATCCTATTTGGTTATCTTAGGAGAGTTTTATAAAGTTAGTGCATTTAATTTACAAATAATTAATCTGAATACAATTATAATTACTTGATTATTATGGTTAAAAACACAGCCATAGGGCTGCAATATTCAATGCCTTTCTTCATGGCCAATCTAAAGCAATAAATTTCAGCCTCACAAAATCTGTAATATATGCATAATAGACTTTTGGGTTATTAATTGATTGGGGTTAAGAAGTTTTGGGTTTTTTAAATTAAAACATATTTAGAAGGAAGATGTGATAATTTAAAATATGATACGATGATATCATAAAAAATATAAATAAAAGAAATAAAGTTGACACGATTTTAAATTTTAATAAAAATTATATATGTATTTAATAAAATAAAAAAATATTTTATATTATTATATCGATATAAATTATGACACATAATTTTTATATAAAACACGAATACATAATTTATTAATATTTTATATAATACAAATATACGAATTACTATATATGCTAAAATAAGTCAATTATTAGGTTTATTTGGATTATTCAAATCCAACCTAAGTATGAATATGAGATTTAACATAATTAATTTATAAGTTACTTTTAAAAAATGATGATTAATAAATTTAAAATTTGAATCTAAATGTTTACAATATCATTTTTTATTTTTAAACTGTAACTTTCTTTGTATAAAAAAAAAAAATCAACTTGAGCATCCAATAAGAGAAGCTCTGTCTGGTAGGAAAGAATAGCAAAAGAACCAATCAATCAACGTTTTGTGGGATGACAATGATGTGTTAAATACCTAAAAATGAAGGATTTATTTTAAATATTTTATTTTTTAAATTAATAAAATGTTGGTAAACATCAAATTGTTTGAATATTAATTTATTTCCTTCTTAAAAGTAAAATAAATTAAAGATAAAAAGTCTTTTTTTAAGTATGAAAAAT